CTGGCCAAGTTCACTCTCTATCACTGGGTAGAATGTTGTGAAGATGAAATTTATTGACACATCCCCTGTGCTTTTCGTCAATTATTACATTACCAGCTTTGGTGACGTCACTTTGCATCACCATGGTTTCAGTGATTGTTATGTTTCTAGTTGGGATAATGTTAGAAGATTCAGTCACCATGACTTCAGTTATTGCAACAGCATAGTGGTGATGTCTGAGCATTCTGCACCTTGACTGGTTGATGGCACAATGGCTATCATTAGATCATAATTGTTCCATTAGCAATTACTTGACAGTATAACGAAAGTGTTTAGCAACATTTTACCATCTCCATTTATTGGATACTGGCTATGATTTCAACATTCTTATAAAGTAAGAAATATATGCAAACATTAGGGATGTTAACATGAATGAGTGAGTCGGAATGAACAATGATGAGTTAAAACAGTATATGAATCTAAGGACATAAGAATTAGGTACAGATGTAGGTTACTTGGCCCCTCGAGCCAGCTCCGGTACAATCAAATTAGTCATGATCATAACTCTATTAACTCACCCCACCCCCAATAACCCTCAACTCCCTTTGTAAATCAAAAAATTGTCTAACTCAGCCTTGAAGATATTCAATGAACCAGCCTCTGCTTCTCTCTGGGGTAGAATATTCCAACACTAACAACTTGCTGAGAGAAGAAATTCCTGTTCACCTCTGTCATGAGAGATCCCTTATTTTGAAGCTGCACCCCCTAGTTCTAGATACCCCTACAAGGGAAAATGGCCTTTCAGCATCCATCTATCAAGCCTGTTCAGAATCTCTAGTTTCAATAGGTTCACCTCACATTCTTCCAACCTTAACCTGCTAAATCTTGTGTCATGATGCAAATCTCTCATGTCAGGATTCAGCCTAGAAAACATAGAAACAGAAGAGAGGAACAGAAGTAGGCCATTCAGCCATTAAGCCTACTGCCGCATTCAACATGATCACCATTGATCCTCTATTTCAGTGCCATATTCCTGCTCTTTCCCCATACCGTTCATGCCTATAGTCCTAGAAATCAATCTTTTTTTTTCTTAAAAATATTCAGTGACTTGACTGCCTCAGACTTCTGTGGTGGAGAATTCCTTCGGTTCTATAGGTTCTGACACTTCCCCTATACCTTCCTCCAATCACCTTAAAATTATGCCCCCTCGTGATTAGTCATTTCTGCCCCGGGAAAAAGTCTCTGGCTATCCACTCTATCTATGCCATCATCTTGTACACCTCCATAAAGTCACCTCTCAGCCTTCTTTGCTTCACTGAGAAAAGCCCTAGCTCACTCAACCTTTCTTCATAAGACCTGCCCTCCATTCCAAGCAGCATCCTGGTAAATCTCCTCTGTACCCTCTCTAAAGCTTCCACATCCTTCCTATAATGAGGGGACCAGAACTGAACACAATATCTAAGGGTGGTCTAACCAGTGTTTTATAGAGCTGCAGCATAACCTCGCGGCTCTTAAACTCAACATCCCTGCCAACGAAAGCCAACTACCATATGCCTTCTTAACAACCTGACCAACTTGGGTGGCAACTTTGAGGGATCTATGGACGTGGACCCAAGATCCCTCTGTTCCTCCACACTGCCAAGAATCCTGCCATTAACCCTGTATTCTGCATTCAAATTTGACCTTCCAAAATGAATCACTTCACACTTTTCCAGGTTGAATTCCATCTGCCACTTCTTTGCCCAGCTCTGCATCCTGCCAATGTCCCATTGCAACCTACAACAGCCCTCCACACTGTACACAACTCCACCAACCTTCGTGTAATCAGCAAACTTACTAACCCACCCTTCCACTTTCTCATTCGAGTCATTTATAAAGATCACAAAGAGCAGAGGTCCCAGAACAGATCCCTGTGGAACTCCACTGGTTACTGAGCTCCAGGCTGAATACTTTCCTTCTACTACCACCCTCTGTCTTCTATTGGACAGCCAGTTTTGTATCCAGACAGCCAAATTTCCCGGAATCTCATGCCTCCTTACTTTCTGAATGAGCCTCCCATGGGGAACCTTATCAAATGCCTTGCTAAAATCCATGTACACCATATCCACTACTAGGCCTTCATCAATGTGTTTTGTCACATCCTTAAAGAATTCAGTAAGACTTGTGAGGCATGACCTACCCCTCACAAAGCTTGCTGACTACTTCTAATCAAACTGTGCTTTTCCAAATAATCATAAATACTATCTCTAAGAATCCTCTCCAATAATTTGCCCACCGTAGAAGTAAGACTGACTGGTCTATAATTCCCAGGATTATCCCTATTCCCTTTCTTGAACAAGGGAATAACATTTGCCACCCTCCAGTCATCTGTTACTACTCCAGGGGACAGTGAGGGCGCAAAGATCATCACCAAAGGGGCAGCAAAATCTTCCCTCAATTCCCGTACAAACCTTGGGTAAATCCCGTCTGGCCCGGGGACATATCTATCCTTCTGTTTTTCAAAATTTCTAGCACATCCTCCTTCCTAACATCAACCTGTTCGAGTATATCAGCCTGTTTCATGTTGTCCTCACAAAATACAAGGTCCCTCTCATTGGTGAATACTGAAGCAAAGTATTCATTAAGGACCTCCCCGACCTCCCCTGACTCCAGGCACAAGTTCCCTCCACTATTCCTGATTGGCCCGATCCTTACTCTGGCCATCCCCTTATTCCTCACATAAGCATTGAACGCCTTGGGATTTCACTTAAGCCTAACTGCCAAGGCTTTTTCATGCCCCCTTCTAGCTCTCCTAAGTCCATTCTTCAGTTCCTTCCTGGCTACCTTGTAACCCTGTAGAGCCCTGTCTGATCCCTGCTGCCTCAACCTTAAGTAAGCTTCCTTCTTCCTCTTGACCAGATGTTCCACATGTCTTGTTATCCAAGATTCCTTCACCTTACCATCCCTAACCTGTCCAGTACTCGTAGCAAGTGCTCCCTAAGCAACCTGTACATTTCTGTCATGCATTTCCCTGAGAACATCTGTTCCCAATTTATGCACCGCAGTTCCTGAGTAATAGCATTGTAATTTCCCCTCCCCTAATTAAATACTTTCCCATACCGTCTGCTCCTATCCCTCTCCATCATTATAGTAAAAAGGTCAGGGAGTTGTAATCACTATCACCAAAATGCTCTCCCATCGTGAGATCTGACACCTGGCCTGCTTTGTTGCCAACCACCAAATCCAAATCCTCCCCTCTAGCCAGCCTCTCTATGTATTGAGTCAGAAATCCTTCCTGGACACACCTGACAAAATGTGCTCTATCCAGCTATTTGCACTTGGGAGGTTCCAGTCAATATTAGAGAAGTTGAAGTCACCCATGACAACAACCCTATTACTTTTGCACCTTTCCAAAATCTGCCTCCCAATCTGTTCCTCAGTGTCTCTGTTGCTATTGAGGGGTCTATAGAAAACCCCTGTAAAATGACTGCTCCTTTCCTGTTTCTGACTTCCACCCATACTGACTCAGTAAAGAAACCCTCCTCCGCGACCTTCCTTTCTGCAGCTGTGATACCATCCCTTATTAGCAATGCCACTCCCCCACCTCTTTTTACCACTCTCCCTATTTCTTTTGAAACATCTTAAAGTGTTTCTGTTAGGCTGAAGGTCTGTGTGTGTGTGTTTAGGTTAAATTATTTTTACTCAGCAGTAGTAGACTGAACTGTCACAGTAACTCTGAAAAAGTTGAAGTTTTGTTTCAGATGTAATCATGTGGACTGTTCATCAACTGAATTTGTGATCGATTGCCATTGAATTGTGCTGTGTAAAAATCATATAGTTGATTGGATGACATAAAAGTGGTGAATTGTGAGCACAAGCTAAGCTGAGGTCAGAGTTAATTAAAAGCAAGAGATGAGCTTCTTTCCAAGGCAACACAAATCTTAATGAGTTAATTGATCAAACTGACATTGGAAAAGATGATGTTTGCCAGTTGTCAAACAGATCATTTGCTGAAGACTGGATAGTGTCAAGAGTGTAAATGCATAACTTCTTTGTATGGAAGGAGTATCAAACAAGCTTGCTTCACAGGAAAAAAAGTTAGCAAACTCGGGAGATTATGATCATTACCTGGAAGTTGAGACACAGCAAGGTGTTCACCTCTTCTGGTCTGATCTTTGGACAAGTTTACACCAAAAGATTTACGTCTGATTGTAGACTCTTCTGGAGTATTATTTTTGAAGTATTATTTATTGTGTGCATTGACTACATTTCATTGTGAATTGCCTTGGGTTATTGATAGTTGGGGTGAACTGGACTGATAATGAATAGTTGAAATAGGAAGCCTACAAATTATTGGCAAACCAGCCAGAAGGGGTTGAAGATAAAGAAATAATCAGGCTAGGTAATGGAAGGGGCAATTGAAGCTTGTGTGGCAAAGAAGGTTCCACTTGAGGAACACAGAGTCCAGATTATTCGAAGTAGTGAGAAGATTTAAAAAAATGTTGCTGGGATTGGAGAGTTGGGAGAGGCTGAATAGGCTGGGGCTGTTTTCTCTGGAGTGTCAGAGGTTGAGGGGTGACCTTAAGGAGATTTATAAAATCATGAGCGGCATGGATTGAGTGAATAGCCAAAGTCTTCTTCCCAGGGAAGGGGAGTCCAAAATTAGAGGACATAAGTTTGAGATCAGAGGGGAAAGGTTTAAAAGGGACGTCGGGGGAAATTTTCACACAGAGGGTGGTGCATGTATGGAATAAGCTACCAGACAAAGTAGTGGAGGCTGGTGCAATTACAACATTTAAAATGCATCTGCTTTGGAACATGGATAGGAAAGGTTTGGAGGGATATGGGCCAAATGCTGGCAAATGGGACTAGATTAATTTAGGATATCTGGTCAGCATGGACAAGTGGATCAAAGGGTCATGCTGTACAACTGTAAGACTCTATAATTCGGTTCAGGAACTCGACAAGTGGGTTTGATTTATTTGTAAGGTGAAAATGCAAAAGGCAATTTGGTTAATTTTTTTTTCTTTATTCATTCACAGGATGAGGGCATCGCTGGCGAGGCAGGATTTATTGCCCATCCCTAATTGCCCAGAGGGCAGTTAAGAGTCAACCACATTGCTGTGGGTCTGGAGTCACATGTAGGCCAGACCAGGTAAGGATGGCAGTTTCCTTCCCTAAAGGACATTAGTGAACCAGATGGATTTTTCCAACAATTGACAATGGATTCATGGCCATCATTAGACTGTTAATTCCGGATATTTATTGAATTCAAATTTCACTATCTGCCATGGCAGAATTCGAATCTGGGTTCCCAGAACATTACCTGGGTCTCTGGATTGAATAGTCCAGCGATAATACCACTAGGCCATTGCCTCCCCATGGCATTTCAAGGACTGGAAAATAATTCATAACAACAGATAGAAAAATTGAGCACAGTTCTGGCACCTGTCCAGATCACAAACATTGATTTATTTCCTTTTTTTAGTTCTTTTCAACTCCTTCTGATACTTGATAGTGACACATTGTTGTGTATACACCAATTCTCAGTCTTTCTTTCATTGGTTGAGGATTCATCCTTTTGGTACCTCTGAAGAGTTTTTTTCCCCATTTTTCCCTATTAACAATGATTTGCAGAAGGAGCAGCTCACACAAAAGGTGAGGGAGAATAGCTAGCTGCTGCATATTTTCTTTTAGTTCTCCACAAACAGAAGAACAAGAGAGCGATGGATGCTTTCTTTTTGGAGGATATGTGTTTCTGCATTACCATCCATGATGCAAAGCTGGAGTCACCTGCCCAGGATTCAATCAGGAATCTGTTACTATACTGAGTTCTGCACAGCAATTGGGGTCAATTTGGCTGGAATTCTCCCTCACTGCACAAATAAGGCAATATTGCATATTACAACTCAGTGTCCTAATCTTGTTTTTAAAACCGCAAACACTTTATCACACAACTTCCTTACTTTAAATTTTTCTTTCACATTTTTATTTTGAGTCCATCAAAAGTGGTCTTTAAATGCCCCCACCTTTAGAAATGAAACACCATTTCAAAAATGCACTTACCGCAAGTTATATGACACAGAGACAACATTCATCCCTTACACACTGTAATAAAATATTTTACTAATTTTCTCATAAATTCTTATTCCATCATTTTTACATAATTGGACAATGTATCTGTTGTAACAGTACATTGGCCAACAATGAGAACAATATTTACATTGAATAGTTGAATAAATGGACTCCATTTGAATGATCTCACATTTCTGGTTTCAAATTTTTCTTTTTTTTTTTGAAAATTGCTTACAGATTGGTCAGTATAGATTAGTGTTTGCCACTAATCTTCGGAACTGAAGTTGCAGTTAACTCTGTTTTCTCACTATAGATGCTGGATTTCTCCAGTATTTTCTGTTTTCTTTTCAGACTTCAGTATTCACAGTAGCTTGCTTTTATTTATAGATTAATATTTCTTTACTATTTTGCTGGATATAGATTTCAAAGTGAAGATCCAATATTAATCCATCATCTCTCTCTACTGTACAATACTTCCGCTGATAGTGGTTTAATTTCTTAGAAAGGAGTCCCACTGGCTTTTCTATTCCTGAGTTGTCATCTTGTAGTAAGGCTGCACCTATCCCAAGTTACCAGTAATTGCCATTTTAAAAGCCATGTTTGCCAATATATCAGAGATAGTAGGAACTGCAGATGCTGGAGAATCCGAGACAACAAGGTGCAGAGCTGGATGAACACAGCAGGCCAAGCAGCATCATAGGAGCAGAAAGGCTGACGTTTCGGGCCTAGACCCTTCATCAGAAATGGGGGAGGGGAAGGGGGTTCTGAAATAAATAGGGAGAGAGGGGGAGGCGGAGAGAAGATGGATAGAGGAGAGGATAGGTGGAGAGGAAACAGACAGGTCGAAGAGGCGGGGATGGAGCCAGTAAAGGTGAGTGTAGGTGGGGAGTTAGGGAGGGGATAGGTCAGTCCAGGGAGGACGGACAGGTCAAGGGGGCGGGATGAGGTTAGTAGGTAGGAGATGGGGGTGCGGCTTGAGGTGGGAGGAGGGCATAGGTGGGAGGAAGAACAGGTTAGGGAGGCGGGGACGAGTGGAACAATCCCTCTTCCGTGCCGACACCGGCCCTAAACCCCACCTCTTCCTCCGTTACATTGATGACTGTATCGGCGCCGCCTCGTGCTCCCACGAGGAGCTCGAACAGTTCATCCACTTCACCAACACCTTCCACCCCAACCTTAAGTTCACCTGGACCATCTCTAATACCTCTCTCTCCTTCCTGGACCTCTCTGTCTCCATCTCTGGCAACCACCTAGAAACCGATATCCATTTCAAACCCACCGACTCCCACAGCTACCTAGAATACACCTCCTCCCACCCACCTTCCTGCAAAAATGCCATCCCCTATTCCCAATTCCTTCGCCTCCGCCACATCTGCTCCCAGGATGAGGCATTCCACTCCCGTACATCTCAGTTGTCCTCGTTTTTCAAGGACCGCAACTTCACCCCTCAGTGGTCAAGAACGCCCTCAACCGTGTCTCCCACATTTCCCGCAACTCATCCCTCACACCCCGTCCCCGCAATAAGAACCAAAAAAGAATCCCCCTCGTCCTCACGTACCACCCCACCAACCTCTGGATCCAACGCATCATCCTCCGACACTTCCGCCATCTGCAATCCAACCCTACCACCAAAGACATCTTTCCCTCCCCACCCTTATCTGCCTTCCGGAGGGACCACTCTCTCCGTGACTGCCTTGTCTGCTCCACAGTCCCCTCCAGCCCCATCACACCGGGCACTTTTCCGTGCAACCGCAGGAAGTGCTACACCTGCCCCCATACCTCCTCCCTCACCCCCATCCCAGGCCCCAAGAAGACTTCCCACATCAAGCAGATGTTCACCTGCACATCTGCCAATGTGGTATACTGCATCCGCTGTACCCGTTGTGGCCTCCTCTACATCGGGAAAACCAAGCGGAGGCTCGGTGACCGCTTTGCAGAACACCTACGCTTGGTTCGCAATAAACAACTGCACCTCCCAGTCGCGAACCATTTCAACTCCCCCTCCCATTCCTCAGACGACATGTCCATCCTGGGCCTCTTGCAGTGCCACAACGATGCCACCCGAAGGTTGCAGGAACAGCAACTCATATTCCGCTTGGAAACCCTGCAGCCCAATGGTATCAATGTGGATTTCACAAGCTTCAAAATCTCCCCTCCCTCTACCGTGTCCCAAAACCAGCCCAGCTCGTCCCCGCCTCCCTAACCTGTTCTTCCTCCCACCTATCCCCTCCTCCCACCTCATGCCGCACCCCCATCTCCTACCTGCTAACCTCATCCCGCCTCCTTGACCTGTCCGTCCTACCTGGACTGACCTATCCCCTCCCTAACTCCCCACCTACACTCACCTTTACTGGCTCCATCCCCGCCTCTTCGACCTGTCTGTTTCCTCTCCACCTATCCTCTCCTCTATCCATCTTCTCTCCTCCTCCCCCTCTCTCCCTATTTATTTCAGAACCCCCTTCCCCTCCCCCTTTTCTGATGAAGGGTCTAGGCCCGAAACGTCAGCCTTTCTGCTCCTCTTTGCCAATATATGTTCATTTATTGAGATTGCCTTCTGTTTCTCAAAGGTTGCTTGGCATTCTGCTGACCACACTATTTGTCTGTTTTGGTCACAAATCTTTAAAAGTTCAGCTGCTGTGTTCTACTTCGGCACAAATTTCCAATAAAACCCAGGCATTCCTAAAAATGTCATGATTTGCAGTTTGACTTTAGGAATAGGGAATTCAGTTGGAGCTTTCACTGTTGCTATTCTTCGCAATGCTTGTCCTTGTCCTGTGACATGTTATAGGTACATTGCCCTTAGCTTTTGCAAGTTCATTTCTGGCCAGATTTAATACTAAACCAGCTAACTGCTGTTTAGATTGGTCCTTTAATTGCCTGCATGTTCTTTCCATGTGTCACTGTGTATGACAATACTGTCTAAATAAATAATGGTTCAGTACTTCAGCTACAGATCGATTCATAAGTTATTGAATATAAATGTGGAGCTTCTAAATCCAAACAGAGGTTTATAAAAACATGAGGGGTATGGATTGAGTGAATAGCCAAGGTCTTTTTCCTAGGATGGGGGGAGTCCAAAAGTAGAAGGCATAGGTTTAAAGTTGGAGAGGAAAGATTTAAAAAGGACTTAAAGAGTAACTTTTTCAGGTTGGTGCATGTATAGAATGAGCTGCCAGAGGAAATGGTGGAGGTGGGTATAATTACAACATTTAAAAGACATCTGGATAGATACATGAATAGGAAGGGTTCAGAGGCTTATGGACAAATGCTGGCAAATGGGATTAGATCAGCTTGGGATGTCTGTTGGCACAGATGAGTTGGACCAAAGGGTCTGTTTCATGCTGTATGATTCTGACTCTGTAACTCAATATTGATATACTGCATTTGCTGAGATAAAGACATATCTTTTTATGCCCTGATGTTAATGACACTTGCAACTACCCCTCATAGTTCAGTCTTAAGAAGGAAATGAAATACTGTTGAATCTATTAATATAATTTTCTAACTGAGGAATTGGGATTTGAGTAGGTTTTCATTAAATAATTTACTTTTCTGTAATCTGGGTAGAATATAGTTGATCAACTTATGAGTTGAATAAGAGGACCAGTAGTGTAGTGTATTTGGATTTCCAGAAATATTGTGATAAGATTCCACATAAAAGGTTATTGCACAAGGCAGGAGCACGTGGTATTGGAGTAATGTTTTAGCTTGGATTGAAGAGTGGTTAACATGTCCGACAATAACTAGTACGGTTAAATGGGTCTTTTATAGGTTGGAAAGACATAAATAGAGAAATGCCACAAGGATCATTCCTCAGGTCTCAATTATTTACCATCCATGTTAATAACTTAATAGAGACAGTGTAATGTGCCGAAATTTTCACTTTGATAGGAAGAATCAAAAGGCAGACTTATTTAAATGGAGAGTGATTCCAAAGAAGTGCAGCACGGAGGGATTTGGGTTTTAAGCAGAGTTAAAAAGGCAAATTAATTTTGGCCTTTATTGCCAGCAGCTT